ATTATCATCCTAATTCAAGGAATACATTTATGTAAAAACCTGTAGTGGAACTAAATTTAAAAGATCATCTTGGCCTTAGCTGATTTGACTCAGTGGATAGAGCATTGACCTGCAGACTGAAGGGTCCCGGTATAGTTCTGGTCAAGGGCACATGCCTGGGTGCGTGCAGGAGGTGGCTGATCAATGATTATCTCTCATCATTAATGTTTTTCTCTCTCTCCCTCTCCCTTCCTCTCTGAAGTCAATAAAAATATATATTTTTTAAAAATTGTTAATTAAATCTCAATCATAGTAAACTTTCTCACTTAAAAAACTCTAAATCGCCAAAACCGGTTTGGCTCAGTGGATAGAGCGTCGGCCTGCGGACTGAAAGGTCCCAGGTTCGATTCCGGTCAAGGGCATGTACCTGGGTTGTCGGCACATCCCCAGTGGGAGATGTGCAGGAGGCAGCTGATCGATGTTTCTCTCTCATCGATGTTTCTAACTCTCTATCTCTCTCCCTTCCTCTCTGTAAAAAATCAATAAAATATATTTTAAAAAAAAAACAAAAACCTCTAAATCTAAATCTGAAAAATAAAAGCATTTAAAAAAAGGATCCTCTTGCCCTGGTTGGAGCATAGTCCCATAGTCCCATATACCGGTTTCGATTCCCGGTTACAGCACATACCTAGGTTGTGGTTCGATCCCAGGTTGGGGTGCATATGGGAGGCAACCCATTGATGTTTCTCTCTCACATCGGTTTCTCTCTCTCTGAAATCAATAATAATGAAAAAAAAATCTTTAAGTGAGGATTTTTAAAAAAGAAAAGATCATCTTAGCCCAAACAGGGTTGAAATAGGTTCTCTAATTAAAACTCAAATATCAAGTTCAACACTGTATGATTATTTAAAATTAGCAACTTATAAAAATACAATATATACCATTTCACTGAATCTATGATGGCATCCACTGTGAGCTGCACCATTTTTATATACTACTAAAACAAACAAAACAATGCTGGCAATTAAGTTATAATTTAACGTTTTCTTATGTCTCGAAATTTTTAATTTAAATTTCATGGAAACACACCTTTAGATACAATTTTATACATAACACCCATATAAACATAAAAAGGAAAACAAACACAAGCAGCATAAATTTAATATACTAGTAACCCTAAAATTTCTTCAGAGTTCAACTCTTGTGAGTCACTTTTTGACACAAGAGTTATCAATATCCATGTTTTCTCATCCAATATTATTCTGTACAAGTATTTCTTAGATGCGCTCCCCTTTTGTCCCCAATACATATTTTCTTACAAACCATTTCATGAGATACCATTCAGCAAGTTTTCCTTTTTATTGAATTTAGTGAGAAAGGGAGAGGGAGAGAGAAAAACAACATGATCAGTTGCCTCCCTCAACCTGGGATAGAATCCTCAAGCTGGGTATGTACCCAGACCAGAACTGAACCCACACTGGCCAGGGCCCATACAGCAGGTTTTAATGGTGGCACTTGCTTCATCTCATCAGGTGTCAAAGGAATATTTTCAAACAACAAACACGAATTGTAATGCTTCAAGCTGTTAAACTGAATTGTTGGCTGAACGACTTTAGAGGTTGTAGTTGGCCAGTCATGCCACTAGGACAGTGATGGCAAACCTTTTGAGCTCGGCATGTCAGCATTTTGAAAACCCCTAACTTAACTCTGGTGCCATGTCACATATAGAAATTTTTTGATATTTGCAACCATAGTAAAACAAAGACTTATATTTTTGATATTTATTTTATATATTTAAATGCCATTTAACAAAGAAAAATCAACCAAAAAAATGAGTTCGCGTCACCTCTGACACGCGTGTCATAGGTTCGCCATCACTGCACTAGGACAAACAGACAGGTGTGTACATTTGCAGTCAATTAGAAATAAAACATCGTCAGCTGTAAGAGGCATCTTGACAACAGAGATGTGAAAACAAGTATGTGCTGAATCTAGGAGTACTTCATATTATGCAAAAGAAGATGCCTCAATTTTTTTTAAATTTTAAAAATGATTAGGATCAAGTGATCTAATAAAAACTTATATCAGGAGCTTTAAAAGTTTCCATAATCTTTGTTACTTCACTTCTTGGACTCCATCCTAAATAAATAACCCAAATTAGAGCAAAAATTGATGCCCAAGCATGAATCTCAGCCCAATATATAAAAACAAAATTGGGGGGGAAAAGTCTAAAAATCCAATAAGACAACTATTAAGTCAGCTAAGGCAACGTGCAGCCTTTAAATTCTTTTATTCAGAATGTAATAATATGTGAAGATGCTTAAACTATAATGTTAAATTAAAACCAAATAAAAATTGTATACACAACATAATCTCCATTACATTAAAATGTATAAAAGAAAAAATTAGAAAGAAGAAGTAAACTATTAACAGGGCTTGTGGCTGGGTACATAGCATGTAACTGCTTTCTTTTCTGTACTTCCAATTTTTCTGAAGTAAATATTATTTTTATAACCAGGTAGAAAAATAAAATAGCTATCAATAACAGCTGTGGTTCAGAGAAGTTGAGTAACTTGCCCTAAAGCAGAAGGGACTAACTAAGTGGCAGTGAAGATTAAAACCTTTATATCCTAATCCCAGATCCAGGACTTCCCATTCTGCCACAGGTTCTCCCTAAGAATCACAAGTGTCCTCCCTTTCCAAATCCCAGTTGTCCACAACTAATTTTCCCAAATAAATGTTATTTAGTTCAAAATTATTACTTCTAGCCCTAACCGGTTTGGCTCAGTGGATAAAGCGTCAGCCTGTGGACTCAAGGGTCCCAGGTTCCATTCCAGTCAAGGGCATGTACTTTGGTTTTGGCCACATACCCAGTGGGGAGTGTGCAGGAGGCAGCTGATCGATGTTTCTCTCTCACTGATGTTTCTAACTCTCTATTCCTCTCCCTTCCTCTCTGTGAAAAAATCAATAAAATAAATTTTTTAAAAAATTATTACTTCTAGAAATTGAAATATCAATGTGGCTATTTCATTAAAAATTACTGTAAAACTGACACTAATGTGGCACATTCTTGTAAAAAAGGAAAAAACTAATGCTCAAGTTGTAAACTAATTGTGTGAAAAATTCAAGAAATAAGTGAAGAGATTATATCCTCTTCACAAGTCATGGCCAGGGCACTGTACAACCTATTTTGAGCTGTGCATATAGTCTTTATGGGCTATAAAAGCCAGGCCAGGTAAAAGACGGGTACGGCAACATGTTGAGTCTTAGATAATAAAAAGGCAAAAGGACAAAGTGCACCTAACCAATACACCTCACAAAATTTTTGCGAAGTGTATGAAACAAATATAGTTTATCTTTGCACTACAGAAATAATTTGAACTGGATATTCTGGCAGTCAAGCCAAGATGTGAGTTTCTCTTTGTGTCAGTATTGGCTGATAAGAGTACATTACCAGCAGGCAACTGGCCAGTGAAGATAACTTTCAGCAGGAAAATCAAATCAATTCCACAATCGGAGCCCAATTTCAACTTGGCACAAGCCGGGTTGCTCAGTTGGTTGGAGCGTCCTCCTGACACGCCCAAAGTTTCGGGTTCCCTAAGTGGAACAACAAATGCACATCTCTCTCTCTCTTCTCCCCCTTTCTCTCTCTCTCCTCTCTCTCTCTCTCTCTTTCTCTCTCTCTAAAATAAATAAATAAATAAATAAATAAATATTTTGATTTTAAAATAATACACGGCAGCCGTGCCGCCCAGGAAAGAGGCATATTAAACTGCCAAGACACACGAAATACGTGGAACTGTAGTTCAAATGAACATTTCAGAACACTGTCTTCATTCTAAGTGGTTACGCTACCAACCATCACCGTGGTCTTAAATAGCTTAAATTATTGTGTAAGACTTAGGATGAAATTTCTCTATGCAAGTTACAGCCCCCACCAACGTGTTTTTTAACGTAGCTGATTTCATTCTTCAGTACTAGAAACATAACAAATGGTTGTTTTCCTAGACTGTCTTCAGCTAAAGCACGCGCAGGAGCATTCCCAGGGCGCAAAACCCGGCACACTGGGCATTTATTTGGATGCGTGTATCCGGGCCAAGACTGCGAGGAGCGGCGCAGCCGTCGCGGGCCTCGGAGGCGCCGTCCATCACACGCGCGCACAGCTCGAGTGACAGCGGCTACGGTCGCGGCCACGACACCGGCCACACCAGGCGGGAGGCTCCGGGACCAAGCCGGGCTTCTCCCCGCGGGCACATGAACAGCCTTTCAGCATCTCCCGGAGAAACACTATTCCTCTCTCCCCAGCTCGCTCAGAAACCATCTCCTGAGTCTACCAGGTTCTTTCTCCGGAATTTTCTCGGAAGAGGTTTTCGGGGAGAAAACTCCAGGTTCAGGATTTACCACCGCACATCCCGTCAACAGAAGCCCCGCGAACGTACGTGACCGCCGGGCCGCAGAGGTGCCAGACCCCGCGCGCGGCTCCCGGCCTAGCGGCGCAGGCCCACGCGGGCTGCGGGCGGGCGGCCCGGCCTGGATGGCTTTGGGCGCGGCCCGCCGAGGGCGGGGGCACGGGGCGGCGGCGCCCACCTGGACGGGGGCGGGCACCTGCGGCCCCGGCGACGTCAGGCTCGGGATCGGCCCACGCGGCTCCTTCCCTCGCCTCCCGCCGCCGCCCGCGCCTCACCTGCGGGCTGTCCTCCAGAGTCTCCTCGATCGGCAGCTTGTCGATCCCCGGCATCGTGGCGGAGGGAGGGAAACGGCAGGTGACGCGGCGGCCGCCCACAGTTCCCACCCCGAGCCACCCACAACGGCTGACCCCGACCCACCCTCTCTCGCAGTCTTTGCAGCCGTCCCTCCCGCGCCGCCCTCGCCAGGAGCCAGGCGGTCCGGCGGGAAATCCCGCCCCTTCGGTATCCATGCCCCGCCTCCCGGCGCGCTCATTGGCTCGCGGCGACGCCTGTCAGAGCGGCGGGCTGACCGGGGGGGGTTGTTGGCCTCCCCGGGCTCGGCGGCGCGCCCGGGTTCCGCGGACACCCGCCGTGCGCGTTCGCGCTTGGGTGTAACTGGGGCGCCGTCTCCCATCGCCGCGCGCGCCTCGAGAACCAGAGCCTCGAGTGAGGACCACACTGGGCAATTGGGGGCGGCTTTAGTTCTCCCTCAGCATTTTCCGTCCGCGACCATGCAAGAGGCCCTGCTGCTGTTGCCTTCCTTTAGTGTCTCAAACGGAACCTTCCCGACCCTCCCCGAAGCGTCCAGCCTCCCCCTCCAGCACAACGGTGCTGGCCACCTCAGAGGCCGGTGGGATCCGAGGTCGTGTCATTCACCGGGCTTTCCTGGCTCATTCGTGGACAGTAGATTCTACGTTATTTTTCTGGACATTTGGATATCAGTTTATTCAGCTTAAAACATGTGACCTTGTCGCCAAAATCATCCATTCTTACGTGGTCTTGAAGGACTGACAAGCCACGATTTAGACGTCCATATTTCTTTAAAATCACAAATGAAAACACCTTTTAAAAGTCAGAATTCCCTAGTCAGTTATGTTGGTGACCGATCAGCACTTGCGTTTGGTGGGAAAGTTTTGGAAGAAGCTTTAAGTAGCTTCTTGGGCCCCTGGTTTTACCGTGCAGAAGGCGCAGGCCGCTCTCGGGACTGGATCCGGACCGGACGTGCCGCCTCCCCATCCACCTGCCTGGCCTCACGCTGCCGGCGTGGCTCCCTGTGGCGTGAGGAGCGTTCCTTGCAGATGAAATGGCAGATCACAGCGCCGCCTGCACATCCAGCCATTCGCCCCACCAGCCCGTCCCATTCTCAGTCAAGATATGCTGGGTGTAAAGATGACCAATTGCCTGGCTCCGCCGGTGCGTGGGAGCAAACCCAGCTCCAGCGACGGGAGCGGAAGGCACTCCTTTTCCACCGAAGCTAGGTTTTCCCGCGGGCTCTGGAAGAGGGATGAAGTCAGGTTTTCAATGTTTTCCCAAGTAGACTTGCAGTGGTTTCACAGAAGTAGCCTTCCTGTTATAAACTCTAACGAAAAGCTCTCCCCTTGGATTGCTTTTTATCAACTAGCCACCCTCTGGAAGAGACCTTTAGTTTTTGAAAGGTGTTTGGAGTCCGGCCTTACCTCGCGCTGCTCGTTCCCAGCTGCTTCGATGTACCCACAGCACCTCCAGGTCCCAGCAGCCCGTCGGTCCTCCCCGGTTTCTTTTCACTCCCGCAGCCCCGCGGCGTGCAGCCTGGCTCTACCGAGGAAGACTTGCAAGGTAAGTGACCTGCCTGGAGCAGCTGTGACTTAGATTGTAAGTGTGGGGAAAGCAAGGCAGCGGCCTTTTCTGATTGACCAGAATCGAGAGAAAGTGACCAGTGAAAACCAAGTGTGAGGAAGAAGAGTCGTTCTATGGTGGTGCTGAAGAGAGTTGGCCAGTTGGCCAAACCCAATGATTTCAGTGAAAAATTCTATTAGGGAACTGAGTGATCTGGGTGGGGTATTCTCATCAAGTTCAATGGTTTCCTCCTTTGTTATGTGCATCTAAACTGTCTTTTTGTAATGGATTCTCAAGATATTATCAAGGAGGGACAAGGAATTCTTACCGGGTTCTGCTGATTAAAAAACGAAAAAAACAAAAAACAAAAAACAAGTTGACATTCAATTGAATGGAGAGGCAGTTTAGTCAAATCATAAAACTAAAAAGAATCTTTACAGGCCTTCTGTTTGGATCCTGTATCTAGGCTACTGTTATATACCCTGCTCGTCCAAAAAGATTATTGTATTTTTTATTTTAAAACATCTCCACAACTGCAGAATTACAGCCTCCTCTGACAACCAATTTAATTTTAATCAACCTAGATTCTGTACACTTGACCAAACTCAGTTCCTTTTACACAGGAAATGAGGCTTGTTCAGAGAGAATGCCTCAGGGGTTACTGGAGACACACATGTGGGGGAGCATAGTAAAAACTTCGGCCAGCTGGTTAATTTTATGGAAGGCAAGGCAGGATTAAACGACATTCACCACACACTTCTTTGAGACGTTTCATACCTGTAATTTACAATAAAAGGACATACAATCCTGTAAATAGATTTGTTAATTATTAGTCTCCTAAAATTATATTTGATCTTATAATTGGGTTTTTACATGATACTCCTTGAAGTTCTGGCCTGTGGTCTGTAATAGGAAAGAATCTAACAACACAAATGATTCTGATACTTTACTTTTCAAAATTATCCCCCTAGGTCATACAAGTCATCTGGGGAAGGTTGTTAGAATACATATTTCTCAGCACAGCTGGAAGGTTCTGATGCCAGAGGTCAGAAATGGGGTGGGAGTTACCCAACATGAGTCAAAGCAAATGATCCTCAAAGTTGAAAAACGCCATCCAAAACGGAGAAGAACCGTTTTCCATTCCAAAATAGCCTTGTATTTCAGAAAATTTAAAGAGTCAAGTAAACATTTAGGAAAAGAGTCCTAGATTCCAGCTGAGAATAGGGACAGGGGTACCATTTCCAGAATCACCAGGAGAGTAGGGGAAGCCTCATCTTCACAAATATCCCCCCCCCCCCGAAAGAACCAATAAATCTGAAATTCTGAGGAATTCATACTCCTTTTAAAAGTATAATGTATAATGCAAATGATTCTGGATGTTAGCTAGTAAATCACTTGTTAATGGACTCACTTTAACAGATAATTGTTTTCTTAAATTTTTAAAATGTAATTCTTTATTGTTGAAAGTATTACATATGATCTCTTTTTCCCCTCCATTGATTCCTCCAGTTGGCCCGCCCCCTCCCCTCTGCCCCAGGTCTTCAGCACCCTATTGTCTGTGTCCGTGGGCCATGCATATATGCATACAAGTCTTTGGTTGATTACCTGCCTTCTCTCCCCACAACCCCCTCTTCCCTCTGAGATTCCGCACTCTATTCCATGCTTCCATGTCTCTGGATCCAGTCTGTTCATCAGTTTATTTTGTTACTTAGATTCCACATATGAGTGCGATCATGTGATATTTGTCTGACTATTTCACTTAGCATGATCCTCTCCAGGTCCCTCCATGCTGTCTCAAAGGGTAAGATATTCTTCTTTTTTATTGCTGCGTAGTATTCCATGGTATAAATGTACACAGCTTTTTTATCCACTCATCTACTGATGGGCCCCTGGGCTGTTTCCAGATCTTAGCTATTGTAAATTGTGCTACTATGAACATAGCGGTGCATACATTCTTTCTGATTGGCATTTTGGGTTTCTTAGGGTATATTCCTAGAAGTGGGATTTTTTATTGATTTTTAGAGAAAGAGGAATGGGAGAGGGAGAGGGAGAGAGAGAGAGAGAGAGATTGATTGATAGTTCCACTTATTCATTCATTCGTTGGTTGATTATTGTATGTGCCCTGACTGGGGATCGAACCCACAACCTTGGCATATCAGGACAATGCTCTAACCAACTGAAATACCTGGCTGGGGCTCAGTTGTTTCTTAACATACGGCTAAAATGAACCAAGAAATGAGCATATTAATTGGTAATTTGGGAAACTGAGTCATTTCCGTTCACCTTAAAACATGAGAACCAGTGGTTGAATAGGGGGAAAGCTTTGGGTCAGTGGTTGCCAAACCGCGGCTCGCGAGCCACATGCGGCTCTTTGGCTCCTTGAGTGTGGCTCTTCCACAAAATACCACGCGCGGGCGCACATGTACAGTGCGATTGAAACTTCGTGGCCCATGCGCAGAAGTCGGTTTTCTGCCTGGGTGAGTCTATTTTGAAGAAGTGGCGATGGGAGATGGAGCGCAGGCGGGTCCCGGATACGCAGCGCGGGGGAGGTACATTGTTTTGAGGTATGTTCACTGAGGTCGACCCCTTCCAACTCTCCCATCCACACTCGTCTATCTGAAACAAGTATACAAGACAAGTGTGGATGGGAGAGTTGGAAGGGGTCGACCTCAGTGAACATACCTCAATCAGATTGAGGACGTTTTTAGCAAAGGCCAGCTTAGGAGTACCCTAATTAAGTTAATTAACAATGTACCTACCTATATAGTTTAAGTTTAAAAAATTTGGCTCTCAAAAGAAATTTCAATCATTGTACTGTTGATATTTGGCTCTGTTGACTAATGAGTTTGCCAACCAGTGCTTTGGGCAATCTGAGGGTAAACTCAAAAGTTCTGATGAGTGGATTTCAAAAAGAGATGGATGAGCAGCAAGAACCAACAGATTCTTCACTGTGCCACTGCAAACCACCCTCCACCTTTGACCTTGATGTTGATAATTGCTTTTGCTCTTTGCCAAACATCCTGAAAATGAAAGGCAAATTCTGTATCTTCCACTTTCTTGGCTGTACAAAGAACTTTATTCCTGGAATAACTGTATATGCTTCTGTTTCTTTTATGGTTGCCTTGATTCCTTTTTGGAAGAAGAGGACATTACTAAATTTATTTCTTTGGCCAGGCCAAGAACTTTGAATCAAAGCAGAGTCCTTCTCAATTCTGTGGGGAGATGGATAAAAGCCTAGGCCAGCCTAGATATCTTTGATTCCTGGCTGTACTCTTTACTAGTTTTGTGACTTTGTGTCTCCATTCTGTCATCTGAAAAATGGGGCCTAATATAGGGAACCTACATTATAATATTGTGAAGATGATTAATGAGTTTTCAAAATAGTCCTAAATACAATAAGCATTCAATAAAAATTGGCTTAATTTCATTATTTAATCTTAAATATTTTAATGCTTTTAAGGCAGCTTTGTTTTCTTACTTTTCCCTTTTTTCATATCTAAAGAAACCAATATTTCCTATGTTAGAAGATGGTGCTCACTCTTTTAGAGAACCTGAAACTATTTTAAACATTACCATTACCTTTGCTAGTGTTTTATCACTTTGACTTAGGGGGTTTTTATAGCCAAAACAAAAATGTTTAAATTAATAAATGTGTATTTTGATATTCTGGAGAACAATTGTCGGTACCAAAACAGCAAAGGCTATTGTCCTGTTTTGGGGTTTTGGCAGTGAGGAGGAAGAGATGCCCTAAGTTTAAAAGACATAAGACTTAATGATACTCGTACCCCCACTAGAATTCTGGGGAAACGGTTAGTGGAAAAGAGGTGGCCCTTAGAGAAGTCAGTATGTTTCATACTGTTTAATCATTGAAAACATTTTAATTTTTGCAGAACCACAGAGGGCAGTTAAAAAAAAAAAAAAAAAAACACCAATAGTGAGAATTTGAGTAAACCATGGCTAGTGCAAATAAATCTCAGGGTTAATCAGCACATCCTTCCACAAGCACTAGGTGGTGCTATAAATTTAGTTTTGAGATTCAAAGTACTACCTCAAGAAATGGTTGTCTTTATTCCACAAATATTTACTATGTAACGAACAAAATATTGAAAGTCTCTGTCCTTGTGAGGATGGCGAGAAGAAAGAAAAATGATAAACATAGTCGTTAGAAGTATAGTATTTTAGAAAGTGGTACATGCTATAGAAAATAGAGCAGGGAAAATGAGATGAGGAGGCAGTTGCAATTTTAAATAGGCTCACCAGCACTGAGGCCCTAAGACTTAAGGCTGGAGTGGTCTGGCTTGTTTTCAAGAATTGCATAGAGCCGAAACTGGTTTGGCTCAGCGGATAGCGCGTCGGCCTGCGGACTGAAGGGTCCCAGGTTCGATTCCGGTCAAGGGCATGTACCTGGGTTGCAGGCACATCCCCAGTAGGAGATGTGCAGGAGGCAGCTGATCGATGTTTCTAACTCTCTATCTCTCTCCCTTCCTCTCTGTAAAAAATCAATAAAATATATTTTAAAAAAATAATAATTGCATAGAGACCAAGGTGACAGGAGAGGAATGAGCCAGGAGAAGTCTGACTCTGAAGAGGGAGGAAGAAGAGGCCACGTTGTATAAAACCTTGTGACCTATTGTGAGGACTTTGACTTTTACCTGGTTTTGGATAAAAATACCTTTAATAGAAGTTAAGATTTGAAAAAATGTTGATAAGAACCATAACATTTATTATCTAGAAACAATGTTATAAATGCCAATCAGGCTCTCCCATTTCATCTACAATGATTAGATTTTTTTAAAAATGGAGACAACCCTAAGTGCCCAGGAGTGTTGTTCAATAAATTGTGGTTCATCCATTTGATGTCTAGCACCAAACAACTGTAGAAGAATGAGATAGAGCTATACATACTGACATAGTGCGTCATAGGGCGAGGATGGGGGTAGGGAGCAGTGAACCACTAGCAGAAAAATACACATCTGACTCCATGTGGATAAAAACGTGTC